ATAGATGTCTGTTTTCTTATGATGCAGTCTTTTGTTTGAAATGTATACCTTAGCAGGCTAGCAGGCCAAAAGGAGATGGTATTAATATCCCTGTCTTGTGAAAGTATCTATTCTAAAACTTTTAGAATCAATGGTATCTAGGAATCTCTTGGTGTTGGTAAATGAACTCAAGACTAGTTAACCTCCCAGTGGTTATTAGAAGTTAATACCACTGTAAATCCATTTCAGTCCTGTAGTTCTCTTGAGTAAATATGTATTTTTGCTACCTTATGTGAAGGTGATGATACTAATTGATAACTGAAACATGTTTTGAGGTCTTCCCCAAAACACTGGTGGGTTAGAGTAAGCCATCTACAATATTGTACCAGTTCTTTGATCTTTATAATTTGGAAAGAAACTTTTTATGAAGTTAAGGACGGTAAAAGAATTAAATTCAGTTGTGGCGGGTGCTTAAAGTCCAAGCTGCTTGGGAGGCTGAGGCAAGAGAATTGCTTAAGCCCAAGAGACCGAGGTTGCTATGAACTGTGATGCCACAGCATTCTACCCAGGGCAACAAAGTGAGACTCTTTGTCTCAAAAAAAAAAAAAAATTAAACTCAGGATCTTGGCCTCATAGGCAATTAATAACAAAGCTTAGTCATATCAGTAAGAAGAAAATAAAATGCAAAAGTCATTTACAGGCTTGGAGCCTGTGGCTAAGGCGCCAGCCACATACACCTAAGGTGGCAGGTTCAAATCCAGCCCAGCCCGCCAAAAAAACAATGATGGCTGCAACCAAAAAAAAAAAAAAAATAGCTGGGCATTGTGGCAGGCGCCTGTGGTCCCAGCTACTTGGGAGGCTGAGGCAGAAGACTCGCTTAAGCCCAGGAGTTGGAGGTTGCTGTGAGCTGTGATGCCATGGCACTTTACCCAGGGGAATAGCTTGAGGCTCTTGTCTCAAAAAAAAGTCATTTACATTAGACTTTAGAATATATTATAAACTTCCCCTATAAGAGCTGCCATCAAATGATTGGCTGAGACTGTTCAAAGAATCTTTCTACCTGAGTCTCAAAAATGACCATAGGAAGTAGGTATTATTGTCACTACTTAATAGATGAAGAATCTCAGGCTGTGTACCTATGGGTATAGAAAATTGAACAGCTCAGATTTTCTTGTTTCAAATCACTAGTTCTTGAAGAATAGGGAAAGCTGGAGATCTGAAATGTACTCACACTATCCACAACAGGGTTAATGCATATGTGGGTGGTGCCAAGTTGACTGTAATTCACTAATGAGCACCCTAGAATTACTTACTGAACTCTGTATTTATTGGGATGTGTAGGAAGTTGTACTTCCTGATGTTAAAATCATGAGTTTGAGTAGGCTGAATTCATATTAAATTTATATGGTAGTTCAGCAAAAAACAACTTGTGCTTACATTTGGCAACTGCAGTGATAGAAAGCATTTGGAAGGAAAGAATTTTGCCTTAGACATAACACATGGAAAGAAGAGAACTAGAAGATGCTGATACCAATAATGTTCAGAGACTTCTCTAGTGGTTTAAACCCTATTAAATGTAAAATGTTGATTAGAAGGTTTGTTTCCCTCATGATCACTTTGTTTTATTAAATCATAATAGAAAGTACTAAATGAAATTCCTGTCTCAACATCTTTTTATTCATTTAACCAATTTATTGAGTACCTACCTACTCTATGCCAAGTAATAGGCACTAGGGAAAGAGCTATGAGAATGCTAGGTAGGGTCTGTGCTCCTATGAAACTTAGATCTAGTTTGGAGAACCAGACAGACATTCTTTTTTAACTAGGTAGGGTAATGCAGAAATGGCCAAAGCACAAGCCACTTTAGAAAGAGGTGAGTCGTGTCCATAATCACTTGCATTACATGGGGGGGAAACCCAGATTCTAAAGAATAGCTCTTTTTAGCCTATCTCTCTTAGCTTCAGCTTACACTTTTCCCTACCTCTGGCTGGTTAGTATATTTGTACTTCACACTAACTGGTAAATGTTATATCCTCTACATTTTTCAAAGAGAGAACTTTTTTTTTTTTTTTTTTTTTTGGCAGAGTAAAGGGGAGAGCACACTCAGAGAACTTTGATTTTTGGTTAAATATAAAATCAAGTTTTCTTCTTGTGTCAAAGAACTCATCTTACTAGGAAAAGATGATGTTTAATTGCTTTATGGTTTTTATATTTTATATATTTATGTTTTTTGAGACAGAGTCTCACCCTGTCACCCTTAGTAGAGTGCCCCAACTCTTAGGTGATTCTCTTGCCTCAGCCTCCCGAGTAGCTGGGACTACAAGCACCCGTCACAATGCCCAGCTATTTTTTGTTGCATTTTGGCCGGGGCCGGGTTCAAACCTGCCACCCTTGGTATATAGGGGCCAGTGCCCTACTCACTGAGCCACAGGCATGGCCCATAATTTACATATTTTAGTTCTGTAAATAAAGTATGATTGTATGTGCAGTGTTTCACTAAGGAGAACTGGCAGTACAACTTTTGTATTTCATGCCTGTGTTAGACAAAAAATTGTATTCAGGCAAACATTTTCTCAATGCCGTATCAAGTTAACCACATCCCCAGCAGCTGATAAGAGTTTGAGGAAGGAAATAAGGTAGTCTAAGCATGAGGTTAAATCAAGTTACCATGTCCCCAGCAGCTGATAGAGTTTGGGGAAGGAACCAGATAGGTACTCTAAGCATAATGATTAAAAGCAATAGGCCGGGCACTATGGCTCATGCCTGTAATCCTAGCACTGGGAGGCCGAAGCCGGTGGACCGCCTGAGCTCATGAGTTGGAGACCAGCCTGAGCAAGAGTGAGACCCCCCCCACCAATCTCTAAAAAATAGCTGGCACTGTGGCAGGTGCCTGTGGTTCCAGCTACTTGGGAGGCTGAGGCAAGAGAATTGCTTGAGTCCAAGAGTTCGAGGTTACTATGAGCTATGACGTGAGAGCACCCTACCAACGGTGACAATGCGATACTGTCTAAAAAATAGAAAAGCAACGCATTAAATAGAAGGCACAGATAATGGCAACATATTTAATAAGCGTTAAAAAAGTGTATTTGGGCTGGGCGCAGTGGCTCATGCCTGTAATCCTAGCACTCTGGGAGGCCCAGGCGGGTGGATTGCTTGAGCTCAGTTTGAGACCAGCCCTAGCAAGAGCAAGACCCCCCTTCTCTAAAACTAGCCAGGCATTGTGGCAGGCACCTATAGTCCCAGCTACTCAGAAGGCTGAGGCAAGAGAATCACTTGAGCCCAAGAGTTTGGGGTTGCTGTGAGCTAATGAGGCCACAGCGCTCTACTGAGGGCAACAAAGTGAGACTGTCTCCAAAAAAAAAAAAGTGTATTTGGTAATTTCTCCAGGAGATGGCACTATTGAGTTGGTTTTTCTCTTTTCCGACAGTAAGACAATAGACTATTCATCTTTCATCTTTGTGTCACCCAAACAAAGAAATATTCCTTTATAGCCCCTCTTCTCCCCCCAACTAATCACATGCTACTGGAACTGACTGTCTTGTGATCTACTCCATAACTGGCATATATTAAAAAATAATCTACTTTTAAAAATAATCTGACACATAGTATTTATGTAAAGGAACAAATTGTTCACCAGTTTTCATCAGCTTTATCTTATCAGTCCAGTGGCTGAGAACTTGGAGGACTATTCTGGTGATTTGAGTATTCTGCTCAGGTAGCAATTAAAAATTTTTTTCACTTTTCATCTTTTACTTTTGTGGTTTTGGAAAAAATGCACATTTGTAAATCTTTTTGTTTGCAAATTAACATCACCAGAAGTATTTTGATGTAAATATTGGGTTTGATGCACTGCACCATTTTGCTCTACAGTGAATATGCCCTCACTTGACATTATCGCCGGTTTAGTTAAAAGTAATTTTCAGTTACTTTAAGTTGTAACGTTTTGCATATTCTGTCTTTTTATTTGCTACCTTTTCTCCTGAAAAACTTATGGCGTTCTAAAGGGATGGAGTCAGTAAGGTTAAGGATTTAGAACTGGTTTTTCCTGCGCAGCATGTTCTGGAAGTTGGATGCACAATTTCTGCGGTAAAGAGAACACGTCGGGGGTTTGTTTTATTGAGGTGGGGTGCTAATTTAGGGTGCATTATACTGGAACCAAACTTGTGCAAAGCAGTCACTGCAGGGTTAAGGCACTTTGGGTAAAGATAAATGTGCCTCTCATGAACTGATTAAGTACTGGGCAAATTCTGTTGTCCCCTTTTACCTGCGCCTAATTCCTAAGCGGCATCTGACGTGCAGGAAAACCAGTAAGTAATTCCGCCTTTGGCCTATCTCCCCGGAGAAGAGGAAGGCGAGAGAAGCCAAACGTGGTGAAAAAAGTCCTCTTCAGGCTTGCCTGAGTCACAGATGTGGAGAGGATCTGGCCCACATCGGTTTGCCGCTTCTTCCGCAGACAATGGGCGCTCCAGACAGCGGGGGCTGGAAACCTGAAGCACCGGTTCTTGACGAAGCCCCCTTTAAAGGGTTAGCAAGCTCAGAGGTTCCCTGAGATCTTCCAGGCACTGCATCACCGAAGGAATTTTAGGGGTGTATGGGGGGGAGAAGGGGAATGACCTGGTCTCAACTTGGGGGTGTTCGAGGAATAGCGAGGCGGTCGCGGGGCCACGGAGCTGGGGGCTTCGCGGTGCGGGGAAGGTGAGGACAGCCCCTGCGCGAACTCTGGAAGCCCGGCCCCAGAGACGCAGGGCGAGTGGAGGATGACCTCACGGGCGCTGCCACGTTCCAGCCAATCAGTTGCGCATCTTGGCATCCGAATCCAGGACCCCCGAAGCCGGAGGCGACGCGAGCCAATGAGGAGTGGGCCGGGAGAGAAGGACAGGCGGCCAGCCTATGGGGGCGGAGAGGCCCGGCTGCGCGTATCCAAGGAGCGCCGACTGGGGCTCGGGGGTGTGGCGCGGCGCCGGCGGGGGTGGGCGGGCGCGCCGGGCGGCAGGTGTCAGCGGCTTCGGCATTCGGCGGCGATGGAGCGGCCCCAGGGAGCTGCGGACGGCCTCTCGCGCTGGCTCCACGGCCTCGGCCTCCTCTTTCTCCTGCAGCTCTTGCCGTCGGCAACCCTCGGTCAGGACCGGCTAGACGCGCCGCCGCCGCCCGCTGCGCCGCTGCCGCGCTGGTCCGGCCCCATCGGGGTGAGCTGGGGGCTGCGCGCGGCCGCGGCTGCGGCCGGGGGCCCGTTCCCCCGCGGCGGCCGTTGGCGTCGCAGCGCGCCGGGGGAGGACAAGGAGTGCGGCGGAGACCGGGACTTCGACGCCAAGCTGGCCAACAACACGCACCAGGTGAGCGGGCGCCGGGCCAAAATTGTTGGCCTCACCAGAAATTATGCTCCCCGGTTTTGTTCTGAGGGTTTGACACACCATGGGAAGGCAGAACAACACGGCGGGCAGGCTTCGAGGCCAGCTGTCTGCATTCGAATCCTGGCTGTGTCACTTAGGAGCTGTGTGAGCAAGGGTAAGTTACTTAAGGCCCGGACTGCGAGGTGCTGCCCCGGGCCCCTCACGGCCAACCCCCTTTCCTCCCGGCCGCGCCCGCGCCCCCGGGCCGTGGCCCCGAAACTGCGGCGGCGGGCGGAGTCGGCCTGGGAGGCCCCCGCAGTCCACGGGCTGTGTTTCGTCACAGGGGAGGCAATCTTAGACTTCGACGGCATTCTGGTTTTTTGTTTTTTTTTTTTTAAGTTGTCAGACATCTCTAGAGCGTCTTTATTTTCTGTCTGTGTAAATAATCAAGATCCGGTAATGCTATTAGGCACCAGGAAGCTGGAGGAATAATTACCCCTTAAAGCGCTTGCAGGAGAAGTTTGGCGGCACAGAAGGGAAGGTGTGTCCTCTCTGGGTCAGTAGTTTCAGGGTGGTGAGGCTGGCCTTCGGAAATCTTTAGGTCACGGTGCATATTTTAATAGTGAAGGAACAAACTTGGAAATGAAATGGCAGTATTTATGTGATCTTACTTCAAATTTGACCTTCTGTCGTGGGATCGAACTCTGACCAGGCTGTCTATATCCTGTTGTAATAAGGTTTTCAATAGTTAAGAAACACATTGCACATATTCCGCTTTGAGCCAATTGCTTGGTCAAAAGGCTTTCAAAATTGTGACCCTTCTGTCCGTGGGGACAAGCAGCTCAACCTGGACAAAACCAGTTAAGACAGTCCTGGACTTCTTCCTTTAATACAACTTGGGAATCTTTCTCATCGTTTCCTAAAATTAACAATTTAATTATTCCTGCCCACATTTGCATAATGTATTTTCAATTTAATATATTTTCTCCCTTATGTCTTTTCATCTTTTCAAAGAGAATTAATTGAACAGAGATGGGTGAGGAAACCTCCATACCTGCATTTGTTTTTGTGTAAACACATTCCAGCATCGGTAGAGCCTCCATCTCTGCTTGGATTGTCTAATTTTCTGGACCATATTTTTTACCTGTGGCATAATTCTCAGATCGGGGGTCACAAGGCGTAAATATTCAGGGATAACTGTGTTTAATGCAGTCCAGGCAGCAGTTGTATAAAGACAGCCTCTCTAGGGCTGGGACAGGCGGCTATAGATAGGGTGGAATGAGGACTGGGAAGTCTTCCTATTTGATGAGAAAAAAAATGTGTAACTTCCTTCTCACAGTTGGGGGTTGAGAAAGGCTTTGCTGATGCTTAATTTATACTGGACCACTTCCTTCCTTGAGCCAGCTGGACACAGGGTTCTTACTCCGTATTTCAGATTCTTCTCTGGCTGACCTACCTTTAGGTCAGCCACTAACTCCTGGATTTACTTCTTTAGTCAGAGTCTTCCTAGTTATTGAATTGATAAGTCAATTACAATATATTGATTACAAAGCAAGAGGCTGAGAAAACTGACTGGTTCAGGGGTCCTTTGGCCAAATCTACTTAAGAGCAGATCTGAAAACATTCATTCTTTGAAGTCCTTATGTAAGAAATTTCCTTCTATTTCATTTTAGCTACTGTTTCCAATGATTTTTGCTTTTTTCCCCAAGTCTTTTTTAAGTGACTTTATTTAAAATAACTGTTTTTGCATTTTTTAAATCATCCCTGGTCTCTTCTATGACGATCCCATCCTTCTTGTAACTTGTGTATCTGTTTTTGTTTTAAATGGCAGCTCTGTTAATGTCCTTCCACTTCAGAAATAGTTGAGTAGAGTAGCTCTTAAAGGTTCTGCTTCCTGAACCAAGAATTGTTATGTACTATTTTATTCTGCTTTCCAATTCATTGTTTTTAAAAGTCATAATACATTATGCTGAGCTATATTGAAGAGATCTAGTATGTTTGGACCCTTTTTAAACAGTGAAAAATAAAAGTATCAGCACAACACAACAACTTTTTGTCAAGAGATATTGTATACTTGTACAGAGAGGGAAGGAAAGTACCATTTAGAGCGTTTGTTCCCCTATAATATGACGGGGCCAAATTCCCCCCAAATATGAAAAGTTACTGAATTTCCTCTTCTTATAACTGGATTCTGTTCATTTCAACCCATATTAATTTATAGAATCAGTGTATACGAATGCTCTGTAAATTCCCAGATCTATCATGCTGGAAGTGCCAAGATACAAAGAAAAGATCATTCAGACTGGAGAATGAAAAACCCCAGAAGGTTTTAGCAAACTCTTAGACTTATTTCTAAGCTTATGAGAACATAGCAGCATTTAACTAGTCTTAAGAAAGCAAAATGAAGCTAAATCATAATAGTGCTTTTACATTAATAGTGGTTTTAGGAGACTTGTGTCCTAATGATCTGTAACTCAGGCTGCTGCTCCTTTGCTCATGAAATCCAACAGGTTATTTTATTTGCCTAAGCCTCCCTGTTTCTCTGTATCCTTTTCTTCAATCTATGGATTTAAAGTCCATAGACCCAATATGTTGGGTCTAATGTGCATAGTATATATTTTTCACATAGAAATCATAATGATTAAGTGCTCTATTTGGGGATTTGAGGCAGGGGAGGAAAACATTTTCCTTCCTATCTATAGTATAAATAATTTATACCCAACTCATGGGGAAAAAGTGGAAATTAAAAATACTGGCTATTGGGTGGCACCTGTGGTTCAAAGGAGTAGGGCGCTGTCCCCTTATACCAGAGGTAGTGGGTTCAAACCCAGCCCTGGCCAAAAACTGCAAAAAAAATAAATAAATAAAATAATAATACTGGCTATTACTAAAAACAGAAAACAAAAGGGATGACAAGAAAGCAAAAGAGAGAGGTAATGTACTTACACCTTTCCAAAAATTGCTCCCTAATTTTCTATGAGAGTTTGATGTATCATGGCGTTGTAGCACTCTGCAGGCATTTAGGCCAGCCTGTCTGCGTTTGAACCCTGGCTGTGTCACTTATAATGGTTGTGGTTAAATTCTTAAGTTCTCGATATCTCAATTCCTAACCTGTAAAAATGGACGTAGTAAGAGTACTTAATTCACAGAGCGGTTGTGAGAATGAAGTGAGTGTTTGTGTATGAAATGTACTAGGTAATAAATCAATAGAACAATGTCTGGCACATAATTAGCGCACAATAATTAATTAGTTATTAGGGATCATTTATACATATCCTTTTCTTAGGCTCAATAAATAGTCTTCCTTTTGCTTTTAACCCAAAATTGTTTTCATGCCATACTTTTTGTTGTTGTTGTTGTTGAAACAGAGTCTCACTTTGTCACCCCCATAAAGTGCTGTACTATCATAGCTCATGGCAACCTCAAACCCTTGGGCTTAAGCGATTCTCTTGCCTCAGCCTCCCAAGTAGCTGGGGCTACAGGTGCCCATCTCAACACCCGGCTTATTTTAGAGACTGGCGTCTTGCTTTTGCTCAGGCTGGTCTTGAACCAGTGAGTTCAGGCAATCCACCCACCTCGGCCACCCAGAGTGCTATTACAGGCATGAGCCACTGTGCCCAGCTCTCATGCCACACTTTTAACTAATTCTTCTCTTCATGTGTTTGGTGCATTCATAACATTTATAACCTTTGTACAGGAGAGAAATTGAGCCAGGCTAGAAGGTTTTATTAACATTCGTTGCTAAGTTGGGTTGCTTAAAAACATTTCTCCTGTAAGTACCCCTTTGAGGGTAGGCATGAAATTCTGTCTTAAATAGATGAAATGCCTCGGCCAGAGTTATGACAGTGGCTGACATAATTTCCTTATTTCTCATTCTTATGTACAGACCATTTGACAGTTTCCTTAAAATTTTTTAAACTTATGATTACCAAAGCCAGAAACTGTTGCTCATTTTCTTTCCTCCCTCTGCTTCTGTCTCTAACTACTTCTTTACACATAACTTCCCAACTTCTACCCCAACATCAAAGCATCTGGTTTCTTAAATAAACAGGCCCTGTAGAGAGGCTGTGTTGTATGGGGTGTCAGCTCTGGGAAGAATGTGTGTGTTTGTTTGCTGGCTCTGGCAGGGTTGAATCCAGGCTTACAGGACTGAATGTGCCTGTTGGAGGCTTCAGGGAGTCTCGGCCTGTTCTCGTGGATCACCAGACCTTTATAACACCCGGAAATCTGAAGGTCAGTGCCTTTAATTATCCCAGAACTTCCTGATTGTCTCATTTGTTCTAATACTTAGCCTCTCTTTAAACTATATTCCCCAGCACCCCACCATCACTCTATTTAATCTTCCCTTGATTTCTGTTTCTTCTATTCATTTTTGGGTCAGGGACTAGGAATTCTGTAGAATCTCCTTCTTGGTCCTGATTGAGCAGAGTGAGCAAAATCTTCTCCCATGCATGTACTAAGATTATGCAGACTTTTAACCCCTAGAGGGGCATTAAAATGATGTATGCATTGAGGATTTCAAGACAAGTATCAGCAGATTTGATGGAATATAATTTGTCTGGGAAAAGGTTAGATTTCATCTGAGATTTGGTTGGGGTTAGGGCAGAAATCTAGCCAGGTATGACAGAAGGCTCAAAGGGAATGCAGTGTAACAATGAGGTAAGTTCTCTGCTGACTCAAATATTTGGCTTGTGCAGAGTGATTTTTAATTAGAAATCTGAGTTTCGTGTCTGCTTATGGAAATAATTGGAAGGAGGTTTGTGTTCTGGTCAATTTCTAATAGCTACTTTCTTTTTGTAATAATAATAATAACAGGCTCTCCACCTTGCTGTTTTGATCTGATCTTTGATGTCAGGTTCAGAGACTATTAACAATTTCTTCTGCATCCTGCCAATTTCCAATCAACTTTTGTTAACAGACATTGGATTCTCAGTGGGTGACTGCAGAGATTATGCTTGCAAACTTTGTCCTCTGTTAGCATTTTGTGACTCCAGACAATCTTT